AAGAAAAATATATTAGCAATATAATTTATTCAACTTAGAATTTGTTTTGCCTTAATACTAAAGCTTGAATTTAAAATTAAATTTTGGAATACCTACCAAAAGACCTACTTTGACATATCAGTTTAACATCGCTTTTCCTTTGTACGTAACGTGCATAAACCGACAAGGTAAGATTCCTTCCACATTCAACTTTAAGTCAAAGAAACTTCCACCCAAATTTTAAAAGCTTTATTCCAATTTCGCTGTTTGTCGTGCGGCTTCCGTTCAAACATTATTCAAAGCGACAATATTACAAAATGTTGGAATTTCAAATTCGAGACACTCACCGTATATTAGTGGCTTTAGGAGTACCGCGGTTTCAGTAAGCAAATTTGCATAATGCGTATTTAATAGGAAGTCTAGGCACGCGGCTAAAGTAATTTTATAAAGAGACCCAGACGCTCATCTAGTTTCGTTTTAAGTATCCGCTCAATTGGAATTAGTCGAGTTAAACTTTATAATTAAAGTTGTAAGTCGTGGCCGCGGTGGGAATTTCAATTCTAGACTGCGTTCACTTTAAAACACTATAAAGTTTTACCTTAACAATGCTTCGCGGTAATACAGTATTAGGTTACGTTTTGACATCGTACAGTAGCAATTTAATACTAATGATAAGTACTTTAAGACTAATAGTAGTACTAATCGTAATTTAATGCTATTCAGGTGCGAAATCCCACACCCTAACTTCGCATTCGCCATGTTTCGGAAATCCACAATCTGAGAATCGAAAAATTTGAAACATGTTGGACCCGATGGGGATCGTACCGTGGACCCGTTAATTATTGGCCATACATTTCTACCATTATACCAACGAGCTGGTCAGATTACTGCATAAAATATCCTAGAAAGTCCAAATCAGGTTATATTTCATTACAATGGCATTTTGTTGTTCACATATTTTATGAGAGTTCTTGGGGTAAGGGGCAATATTTTTTATTGAGCGAATACTTTGGCCTTTGTCCATTCCCAATGTAATCAATGTTAAGACGTATTATGACCAATAGCCGACAGAATCTGGGACAATGCTTCGTATAGAGAAAGATAGCCTGAATTGTAACGTTTGTTTACAATATTTTTATTAGCTAAGTTAAACGTACTATTTATACGAAACACGAATAACTGTATAAAATGCGTAATGTACAGGCTTTTTACAATTGATTTTACCTATGGCCCAACGTTTAGGTGATGTGTCGTGTTGACCGCCTCTGTAGCCAAACGGTTAAACGTATTGCCTAGCATTGCGTTAACAAAGAAGCAGAGAAGCTAGAGGTCCTGGGTTTGAATCCCAGGGAAACATAAAATTGTTTCGGTCGGACAGGGCACAGAAGTCTGATCAACTACTTGCCTCTACTTAAAAAGAATCGATCAGTGAAACGGACATAGAAATGTGTTCGCCCCATGCCCCACGAGGGGGAAACGGGATTTCACTTTTTTCACTTTGATGTGTTGTGACGTGACGCATCAGAACGATATCGGTCTAATGCAATGTATATCAATTCACAGTTGTAATGCGTGGCATCAAAACAGACACGACAAATAAATGAGTTTGAAATTTTATTTTTAAGTATATAAGAATCAAGAGTTCTATGAAATTAAATATTGTTTTTATATGTTTGTGATTAACATTTATTAATGAAATCTTTGTTGGACATATGAAGACAAATTTCACTTTGATTTGCGTGATATTCCATAATTACGTGCTTTCGAAGAAAATAGTGTAAATGTGTAATTAGTTTGCTTTACCCTAGTTTCGCTTGTTTGACAACTTCAGTGCCTGATGAGTCTTGGGACTTACGGCTCAGATGTTAATGTGTCGTAGCTTAGTTTGTACTTGATTCAGGATTCATAGGACAAATTTGCCTGTGTTGAGTATAATTACGTTGCTTTACAAGTGGGTATATTGTCTTAGTTTAATTTAAATTAATGATACAGGTAATGAATGTGATAGTTCAATTTCGTAGTACACATAAATGTATTCGTTAATTCTACGCATTTACGATTATTTTAGATTATTTTAAACCAGGCAACTATAACCAGGCATTTAGGCCGCCTTGCAGCAACCGTGATAACAGGTGGGCTAAAGGTGGAAGGTGTTCCTAATGACAAAGTGAAATCTGCTACGCTAGCGCCATCTGTTTCCTCGTAGTTGATATTTGAAGGAACTAGCTAAGTCCTTATAGAACAGAATAACGGCGTCCTTTCGTTTTTGGGTATCGTTCCCGGTATATTGTAGAGAAATGTCTTATCTAATTGAACTGCCTTGTTTAATTTGAACTAGTTTGGGCATTGGAAATGTTCTTATACAAGTAATGGAAAAGATTAATAAAATCTGTTAAACTAACAAACTAAATATATTTATGGATAGTTTAAAAACTTGTACATGTAATTACACCGATAACATCTATTGTATACACGTAAAGGACACAAAGTTGATATTATCTATGGAATACTGTCACGCTTCACGTTTACAATGTTATTGTAGAGGAAGTGTTATCTGTACCCACAGATTATATCAGTTGTAATTTTCGCAAATATCGTGTCTTTTTGCAACGGTGTTGCTATTATCTAATAATCTAAATTATAAGTGTAGGGACATAATATGTTACCAGTAAAGGAACTGATTGTGGACATTGAAGTGTCTATTTCAATTCTTGATTTTTAAACAACACTACTACTGCCAGGACATTTTATGAATTTCGGCGTTTATTCCAAAGCAACGAGTTTTCAATTGAACTGGTGTATTGGAAATGGTTCAAGATCATCACTATTAATCTATACTAATAGATAAAACTTTATTTGTTTGTTTGTTGAACGCGCTGATCTCTGTCACGTCCGGTTCGAATTGAAACAATATTTTTGTGTTTGTTAGAGAATTTATCAAGGAAGGCATATATTATAAGCTGTATTTTTGTGAGTTTCTGATACAAACTCTGTGAACATAGTTTGAGAAACCAATATAATATGTAAGAAAGAATGATTTATTTTTAAGGGGTCTAAAAAATGTCCGCGATACTATATGTCAATCTTTCAAGTTGACATAACTTGCAAGAACGATGGGACGCGCGGGATGTGTTGAAGGTTTGCAAAAACAATTTTTGTTGCCCAAAACAATCTACTCGGATGGAGTCGTTAATACAGTTCGTAAATAACAAAAAAGGCTTAAATTGTTTAACAAACTATAGGCAAATATACGGAAATTATTAAAATAATGTTCTAAACTTAGGAACTGATATTATCTTCGGTTAAAGATGATTTTTGTTAAAAAAATTGACCCATGTGAAAAGGGATATTTTATTATTTGATGATAGATCAAATATCAAGCGGATAACCTTTCCGCGTTTTTTAATATTCGTCCGTAGCCTCGTAATAAGCTGAAGTGTACCCGACCTCAGAGTAAAGACACCGACAATAAGTAACAATGAAACTCGGATATGAGGTTTTACCCTGGCGTCTGGAAAGTTTCGTTATTTATATTTTTTGTAGAGATGGGCTGAATATCGTTTGAAATGCGAGTTTGTTGGTCTAATGGTAATATTGTATGGCTAATGATCAACGGATCGTGTTTCAAAATTTTCAATTTATAATTTTTCTGGACTTCGTCTGGATAACTGGACATTAAATGGGTAGTAGGTGTCAACTTGCACCACCGTCCAGAGATGAAAAAACCGTGAAGTTTAATCCCATCTCGGTTTCAGTCAGGGGATTTCCGAATATCCAAAGCCAAAATAGGTCGACAGCACATCTTGTTTAGGCTACTTACCATCAAGTGCACCCATGCCATGTCTGTTTTCCTTTATCAAAAAAAAATCTTAAAGCTTAAATAAAAATCGTATATGACACGGTAGATCAATTGGTTGAAGTCCCACCCGTGTCATAAATTTTTTTCAATATAAAATCGGTTTATTATTTTGATACTTGAAAATAATTACCTGAATTTCCAATAAACAACTAAAAGTGGATATTGATTTTTCTCGTAAAAGAAGTTTGTCTCAAGCCGCAAATTCGGTTAACGTGAACCGAATTTCGTCACAACCCTATGTTTGCCTATACCATGAAGTTCATTTTCATGCTTAGAAGACAACAATTTCCTTCAAGTTTCCTCTTATTGTGAATGTCGTATTTCCATTTCCTATCGCTAGGCTGTGACGTCATATCCTAATGGAAAATAACTGAGGCGCGAAATATTCTGATCGATCTTGTCTTTATATTGAATACAATCAATAGATTCTTATGTACGTTCATTCATACAAAAAAAACTATTTTTTTAACAATATATTCAACTATTTAAGCATATATAGTCTTGAAAAAAAAAAAAACTAATTAAATAACTGTCTTAATTTTCATAATCATCAACGCTTTTAGTGCACTTTCATCGGCGTCACAACTACTGCAAAAGTATCCCAAATGTCGAGTGGGGGGCGTGGGGTCCCCCCCACCCCCACTGACGTTAATAAAAATAAGTAATACTATTTTTCTTAATTTATTTTAACTACTGTCCAACCATTCAGATGCTTTACAGCAGTCGTGATCATCGGGGACCGTAGTTAATAGTTAATAAAAATAAGTAATATATTTCGCGTTTTAAACCGTAATTTTTTTATAAATTTATTTTATCTAAGGTCCAACCATTTAGGCCTTAGTTAAAACAAATATAAAATAAGTTATATATTATCGTATGAAAGTGTGTTATTTAAATGTATACTAGTCACGTAAACTATAGATAATATTTAAATAAAACACTTTAACGGTTTAAACGCGATATATTAGTTAAACTTGTTTGAAAATTATTTTAGCTACGGCCCGACGTTTTAAATGCTTTGCAGCAGCCGTGATCACGTGGAGAATGAATTTCAAACAGGTTTAACTAATATATATCGCGTTTTGAACCGTTTAAGTGTTTCATTTAAATGTGTACTCCTCGCGTCAACTACAGACAATGACTTAAGTGTGTTTTTTTCCAGATTTAGATTCTACGTCTATTCAGCTTACGTAGAACGAAGAACAGTGGCTGCTATTCGAGTGATAGCCGCCACGAAGACGCGTGGGGCTGACCCCGTGGTGTGCCGCCTGTGGCTACCAGACAACCGCACACTCACACTGAAGGCCAGAGTCAAGGTAAGAATTTCAATCGACGTGGAATATATGAAGAGAAGTGTAGTTTTAAAAATAGAACTGCAATTAATTCGACATTGAGAGAGATTGCTAGTTTATTTATTTCATATATATTCGTTTCTGTATCCATTTGATGTGAAGACGCGCGCATATTCTCGAAATTTAAACCCAAGACCTTCAAGTTGGGAGATCCTGGGTTTAAATTTAGCAGCGAGATACCGAAGCTTGATAAATGAACGTTCACTTGATGGGAGGTGAATTACCTCAATATTATAACATCTAAGCGAGATGCGTTATCAACGATGCGATTAAACTTAACGGCTTTTTCATCTGAGGACGGTGGTTCGTGACCCGGACGGAATTTCGAAATTCCTACCACCCACTTATTATCCAGACTTCCAGACGACGTCCAACATATTTCAGAACAATATTACATTGAAAAATTAGAAACATACTGGACTTTTGAAAACATTAATATTTTTCACGTGAAGGCACTATATAATTTAAAAATCGAAAATAAATTGAAAAATTTTTCGACTCGGGCAGGACTTGAACCGGAATCGTCAGCGGTCCGTGCTGTTGCTCTACCAACTGACTCGGTACAACAGCTCTACTGAGTCGGTAGCTCAATTGCCCGAGTCGAAAATTTTTTCGAATTATTTTCGATTTTTAAAATAACATACTGGACTCCGTGGGCATCGAACGACCAACTGATTATACATTGTTGCCATTAGACTAACAGATTAACTAGATTAACAGTTTTTAATGGTTCCTACTGTTTTATTCAAGCTTCCAAAGGTGTATAGACCTTTTCCTTCACCAGAAACTCATTCTTGGTGCATAACTGAGAATCCGGAACCAGAAAACCGAACGATCGAAAGTTGGGTGCATACCACGCCAACGGTTCTCAATCATAACAAAAAATGCCGATATTTCAGCCGATTCGAGAGAACTGGAACCTCAAGTACAGCGCCACGTACGTTCTTTGCTTGCTGCGAGACACTGGAGTAAAGCCGCAGGACACTGTAGGTGCTGCTGTGTCTATCGCTGCGGCTGTATCGCCCAACCGAGCGCCTACCAATCTGCTTACTGTACTGGATACGGAACCAAAGAGTGGCATTGAGGTAAATAAACAATATCATACTAATATAATACACTAGCTGTGCTAGCGACTTCATCGGCGTAGAAACGTCAAAATTTGTTTTTGCAATTTTCTCTTCATCTCTATAAATTTAAAACTGTTACCTACAACATCGGTCGCGTACTGTCGTACTTGCAAGTTAATCTTAAAAGATAGACATATAGTGTCGCGGACTTTTTTAGATCATTTAAAGAAGAATCATTCTTTTATAGATATGTTTTGGGTATCTTGAACCATATTTTTTTCAATTCGAACCAGGAATTCCTGAGATTATCGCGTTCAAATAAACCTACTCTTCAGCTTTATAATATATTAGTATAGTTTTTAAGTTATTCGAAATTAACTGTTTGAAATTTCAAACTAATTTTACATATTACTGCACAAGATGGCGCTATTTAAATTAAAAATTATAAATACGAGTTTAGATTGAAAAAAAATTACGACACGGGCAGTTTTTTATCCGGCATCCACAGCGTTTCGTGCTGTTGCTCTAAATAGTAAAACTTTGTCGTCATTTTAGTTTGTGTAAAAGTTATTCACGAGATTAAGAAAAAGCCTGCAACTCATTAATATAAGATTAAATTAATTATTTACAGTTCAACAGAGAAAATAATGTCTACGTGTAACTTTCATTAATTTAAAAAAGTTCGCTACCTGAGCTAAATTAATTGCTTTAATTTATATTGCACTTTAGGCTTGTTATGTAATGTGCTAACCGTAAAATTCAACAATAACACCTAATAAAAGCGTGTTAATGAGATTATAAAAGCCTGTCATTAGCTGACCCGAATTAATTTATTAAAACATTATTATCGTAACGTTAGCAAACAAACTACACTAAACAATTATAATTATGCTTGATTGATTCAAAAATGTTACAAAGTTTTCGATGTGAATTACCGTGGTACCGTACCTAGTAAGTACATGTTTTTGCTACCATTTCAATGATACATCCATGAGAAGGAATGACTTGCCTTCAAAATGTATTTCTTCTACTTCGTTCTTATGTTCGTCTATATATCTTAGACCTGACTGTGAAACCAGGATCTCTTGCGCTCAACTAACTTCGCTTGTCTGTTTATATCTATAGTTCTTAGCTCGATCACTTTTAGTTTAATATGATTAATTTTAATTTAGTTTCAGTTAATCTAAATACATATAAATGATAAGAGATGCATAAGAATAACATTATATATATAATATTTCATATATAATTAAAATGATTTTCGCAAAAGGATATTTTGACAGTGTTATTTATAAAAGCATACATATAAAATTAAACACACATTCATATAACACTAGCTGCGCCCGCGACTTCGTCCGCGTGAAAGAATTATTTTGGGCATCATGTTATTTATTTTTGCAAACAACTAGCAGCTTTATAAAGCAGCTTTATAAACTGTAGCTGTTCACCCCGATGTTGACCGCGTCCCGTCATTCGTGCGAGTTAATTAAAAAACATAGACATATATTGTTGCGGACACTTTATTCAATGATTTATAGAAAAACCATTCTTTCATTTATACGCATGCAATGAAAGCCCTCAAAGATGAATAATTTTCCTTCTTTTTTCCTCCTTTTTTCCACATTTTTCCTCTGTTTCTTCGATCCTATTCATTGCAGCATCTTTTATAGCCTAAACCTTTCCTCGACTTTTTATAAAAAAATATATCATAACCAATATATAAGAAAGAAAGCGAGGAAAATGTTCAGTATTGTTGTGATAAGATTATTTAACTCCCGATTTTTGCTTTTCCAGGAAACCCTTCACGTCTGCGTAAAACCTTTTCATTTCTCGTACTCGCGCGACGAGTGGCTCATGGAATGGTTCGAGTTGAACAGACTTCTAGGCGCTAGCCATTTCTACATGTACAATGAGTCACTGAGCGCGCCCGTTGCCTGCTTATTAGAGCACTATAGAAAACAGGGTTTGGTCACCCTGTTGCCATGGAAACTGCCTATTGTCTCCAAAATTGAAATCAGGTTAGTGTATGACATTTTAAAACGTAAGTATGCCTTAAATATTTGAAAACTATATTTAATAAACAATGATAAACATCTGTGAGTCAGGCGGGATTCAAACAAATTGTAGGTCTTTCACTCAATGCTAAAAACACTTGGATTCGATGTTTGTACATGCTTATTATACCAATGTTTTAATATTAAAGCCACGACATTCTAAAACGTACAAAATTGTACCAAATACTTCAAAATAATTTAGCTACAAAAATTCAATTGTGACTGTTGTTACCTCTAAAAATATATCCCAACTTTGAAATAATGTCAAATTTATGGTAAAACATATTGTACAATTCTATGTTAGAATGCAAACTATTTCTAGTTAGTTAAACATAATGTAAAAATTTGTAAAGAATACAAATTTTCTTTATTTATTTAGTTCAGCCTATTTCTAATTTTAGGACGGAAGGTCAGTTTGCCGCGTTCAATGACTGTCTATACCGGTCTATGTCATCTGCCGGTTGGCTCCTTGTCATCGACGTGGATGAGGTGGTGCTTCCGCGGAGAGAGAGGAGCCTGGTAGCTCTTTTGACAGCACTCCGAGCAGCCTACAATCCACCATCGAAGGCGCCATCTGCGTTTCTTTTTAGAAACGCCTTCTTTTATTTAAGATGGGAGGTAAAGAGATAAAACTTTTAACTATTGATTAATATATTATTCGTGTTTAATATGCAATCGTGGTCAAGGAGGACATCGGGTCATAGTTAAAATAATAGCCATTAAAATGTTATTTAATGCTTTACTCGAAGTAAAAGCTAACACTCTAAACAATTTGTCGAATAAATAACAAATAATGTCTGTAGTTTACAGGAGTAGTACAGATTTGGCCGGCCAATTTCGCCAAATACCAACTTCGACAGAACAGATGGCGCTAGCGTAGCAGTTTTTACTTTGACGAAAGAGATATCCTCCATCTTTAGCCTCCCCGTGACCACGGCTGCTGCAAAGCATCCGAAACGTCGGGCCAAGCCCTAACAAGTTTAACTGAAATATATCGCGTTTTAAACCGTTAAGGTGTTTTTTTTAATGTGAACTATTCGCGTAAACTACAGACAGTATTTAATATAATCATCATTAAAGTTTGCTTCATTGGTTGAATGGAAAATACTTCGATTGTTCAACTTCAGCTTACTGATAATAATTGGCGCTAGATGGAGTTGTATACCAATCAAGTTCACTGTTGCTATCCGCGAGAAATATAGTTTAACATATTATTTTCTAATACTAGCTGTGACCCCGTCTCTGTCCGCTTGGAATGGTAATTTTGGGCATCATGTTATTTAGTGATTTAAACTAAAACCTCGACTTTATTTATTTTACCATTTAACCACGACGTCGTCTACGTTCCCGTCGTTCTTGCAAGTTAATTTTAAAAGATAGACTGTCGCGAACACGTTTTTAGATAATATAGGAAGAATAATTCTTTTACACATATCTTTTGGTTTCTATCACGATGTCATAAAGCCTTCTTCCTTGAACGGTCTATCCAACGCAAAAATAATTTGTCAAGTCGAACCAGCAGTGTCTGAAAGCGCGTTCAAACAAACACTGCATCTTTATAATATTAGCAAAGCTAAATTATTCTTTAAAGATTTCTTGTCTGTCTAATTCCAGGATGACGCTGAAGCCCCCGCCCCTTTAGTAACAGCACGTAAAACGCGCCGCTGGGCAGCACCACACGCATTAAAGAACCGCAGCAAATATGCCCTGCGACCTCGTGATGCGGTCGAACTGGGCAACCACTTCTTATGGGAACTGGCCCCTGGTGCCAGTTCCGTTGGTGTGCCGACTGAGAGAGCTCTGCTACATCACTACAGAGTTAGTAAATAAAGGATACTAGTTGTGTAATGTATTAGTTGTGCCCACGACTTCATCCGCGCATAATAGTTATTTAGGGCATCAAAATGTGTTTTTGCAAAGCTCCTCATCTTTATAAATTTAAGCTGTTAGCCACATCGTCGTCCACGCCCCGTCGTTCTTAAAGTTAATCTTAAAAGATGTGTTCGATCATTTATTTAGGAATCATTCTTTAATATAATTTGGCTATCTTGAACAGTTTTCGCAGCGCACCCAACGGACATTAATAGTTATCGCAGTTTCTTCTACGTTTTCCATTACATCATCGCTCGTATAGGCTCGCATCGTGATTTTTTATAATTTGTAACCTTCCTCTATAACTGCTCTAATTAACATACCTTTTCAATTCGAATCATAGTTCTTGAGATTACCGCATTCAAACAAACAAAAAATATCTTTAGCTTCATATTATAAGTTACCCTTACATTAAGAGAAAAATGAAACGTAACGAGGCTGCATCTTGGTAGTAAAATTTGCAGGATAATTTACTAAATATATGTTATACAGGCAGATATACACTTAAAATCAATAAAAATATCCTCAAATAAATATAACCGTTTATCATTGTAATGACTGCTTATTTGTATAAAATTATCTTATAATAATTAAAGTAAATTTCAGAGAATTTAATTTGTATAACACTAGTTGTTACTTGTCTAATTAACAAAACAACTATTTATTTATTTACAATTTCAGATCGCTTGCGAGTACGGCGGTATGCAATGTCTAACAGTACCATCAACAGTGGACCGAACCGCCCACCGCTGGGCTGAAGAGTTGAAGCAAAGGGTCTCTGCTGAGAAGGAGGCAATTTCAAAGATATGCCCAGCGTAAACCATATCAAGTTTAACTTAGCTATGTAATCTGGAAGGTCGTTGGAGTTGATGACTAAGCATTTGAGATTTATTAAAATTATTATTGATTTACAACAGAGAACAGATAAGCTTGATGGATCATAAAATTCCTTTATCTGAACGAGATGTGTTATCGACCTATTTGGGCTTCAGACATTCGGCGATCCACCAATTGAAACCGTAACGTTGTTTTATCTGTGGACGGAATATCGATATCCCAAACAACCATATGATATTCAGTAAACCCAGAAATTTTTAGGAAAATTATAAATATATTAGAAACATGTTGTCAATACACTGTGTTACGTAAAGTTAGTAACGTCAATAACGTTAGTAACAAGTATGTCATATCAAAACATATTTTGTGTATATTACATACTTATCGAACTGACTAATTATATTTAAAATTCTTCATCATGGCCATTGGCGTATAAATTAAATAAACCTGGAAGGTGTCTCTTCGTGTAAATCATAATTTCCCCAATTATATCCCTAAGAAGATGGAAGGATAGCTCCCAATGTAAAACAAATGATTCCTTGGTCCCCTTAATTACAAAGTGTGGTATAAATATTTTCAAATAGATGTAATGTAGGTGTCTGATTTGTATTTTCTTAATAGTAAGGGTTGCTATTAAGACCCCAAGAGAACGTAAAGTCTACTAAATGCTAGTATGTTATAAGCTTCAACGACGCTTCTAGAAATATCCATGGAAGAACCAAATGTACAAAGCCCGATGTTTGTAAAGGGAATTTGTATAATAAGTAGTGCGTAGTACTTTATGTTACACGTGTTTTCGTTTGTAAATAAATTTAAGATGTCTGTCATAATGCACAAATTGTTTAGTCAGTCTACTTTTTACGCGTAGATATGATTTTGGTGGGAATTGGCTTGTTATAAGAGTTCATAGTAAGGTTAGGCTACGTTCAAATTTGAAGAGAATAAAAATTTTAACTCGTGTTTTGCCAAAGATCTGAAATGGACTTACATTTTTGGTAAACGTGTATTATTTAAACTTGAATCTATATGCTTTCATATTTTTTCTTAATACTTCTTTTCGCAATTTAAACTGTTAAAAAAAGACTTCGGACCCAATTCTTGAATTATTGCTCTACAGATTGAGCTACCGTGTATAGTCGTGGTTTCGACCGCGTCATAAATTTATTGAACTGAATTACTTTATACAGACATGTGCCATAATAGGGGAGCTTTAATGGAAAGTTTTTGCCATTACACGAATAAGTATCATTAGTACTCTCTATAGTTTACGCAAGGAGTACACATTTAAATAAAACACTTTAACGGTTTAGAACGCCATATGTTAGTTAAACTTATTTGAAAATGATTTTCAACTTCGGCCCGACGTTTCCCCGTGACCACGGCTGCTTTGCAAAGTATCCGAAACGTCGCCGAAGTAGAAAATCATTTTAAAATAAGTTTAACAAATATATTGCGTTTTAAACCGACAAAGCGTTTTATTTAAATCATTAATACTCGTTTATGTAATGATTCTTACTTTATAAAGCAATGTAATTTCCTGATTTCGATTTTTAAAGTAAAGTGGGCACCCATCCCGACGAACTGCTTTCAAGTAAAATACACAATACTTGTATTTGATTTAAACTATATTTAACTGTTTAACAGCAAATGGCTTTCATTGAATATTTTTGTATGCAAAATAAATTCGATGATTATGTTCGTCAACATTTGAATTTTTCGCATTCGAAAAGGACAATACTTTTGATATTCAAAATTTTTCATGTCTTATATTGTAAAATTATATGCATTTAATATATATATTTAATCGTAAATAATTAGGAACTATAATTAATGGTATTCGAAGGACTAATTAAGTGTTTAACTAAAGCATTTTTTAAATTAAACAGATCACAGTAAACTAGAAAGGCCAGTGAACATAAATTTCTTATATGCTACTACTTATGTAAGGTAAGGATACAGATACTTGGGGTGTAAATAAATAAGGAAATTTTAAATACTTTTTTAAAGATTTGTTGCGTTATTCTAGTTTTATATAAGGTTTAATTTCCTAAAATTTATGATTATTATTGATTCTATTGTGTATAGTTTACGCGAACAAATTTAAATAAAACACTTCTGAACGGTATAAAACGCATAAAGCATGGCACTGAAGCATCGACAGCAGATTACGAGGTTTTGTAGTTAAAAGGTTCGGTGTTATCATTACTAATTTAGTGGCGGTAGTTAAAAATGCACTGCAGAAGGTTCATTTTGACTAAGTTCTTAAATTTTGAAAAGGAGAGAGGCTTATTTTTTTTAAACGTAACAATGCCCCAAAACACACAATGGTGTTACCATTTTATTTTTAATGCTTTTTCAAATATTTTAGTTAAAACGTACATATTATTGTTATATGTTACTGTTGTACTATAACTAAGGCGCTTTTAACGTAAGTTATTATTGAATTATGTAAATCTGTTGTTACTTGCTCAATAATTAAAAATATTTCAGTATTATTTCATCGATTTTAAAAGAACGTATTCTATATACAGTAGTCTTGCGTATATTGAAATCGCCATTTGACGACTGGTGATCATTTGTAGCAAGGATGTAAACGTTTAAGAAAGTAGATTAACTTAATAACCCCATATAAATAGTTACTTATTGTAAATACAATCAATATCAAAGAAGGGTTGTCTTCTTTCTCAAGCCCCCGACGACGAGTAGACGAAATGCTATAATTGTGTTTAACTATATTTATTTTTAAAACTAGTTCTATAAACTATCAATGATTTTATTTCGCTTTGACATCCATTTATGAACGACTGAATGGGGCTGCTAGAGGCAGAGTGGCCTAATAGCAAAAAACATGATTTTCAATAAGGAGGAAAATTAAAATGCGCAATTAACTTAGGCAAAAATGAATTTATGGTCTCTGTGATCTTGTGGACTAGCTAATGTTTTGCCCATAAAATATAATTAACTCAAGTCTTAAAATTGCAGTTAGGTTACTCTGCATCTAGCGACCTAAAATTGTACACATACTGTTTTTATAACAACTTCGTGTAAATAAGAAATTGTAGGTATATTGGTAATATTATTTCAGTGAATTAACAGCGTTCGTCATACTTATAATTTAATTATATTATTCTAACATCCTTTGCAAGGGAATATGTACCTTATGTCTATGTATTTTAAATCCTAAATTTTAAAGTGCTAAAATATTATAGTATAGTATTATTATAACTATAAATTAATAAATAAAATAAAATAATAATATTAATATTTATTTTGTAATTGTTACATTATACATTGCTATAACATGAATGTAAATTTGCAGACCTAATCTGTAAGAACCTAATTAATTTCACGCATTTGAAAATTGTACATAGTTAATGTTTGGACCTCAATAATTTAATGAATATTTTTGTGTCTATACTTACCTGTGATGTCTATTATTAAAGTGTATGATATTTAGTTCAATCATTATTCGACGTGTACTGTAGGTTGAATGCTGGCAAAGTGACCTTTGTACAATAAAAGGACATTTGAAGACCGTGTTTTATTTCAAAAGTTTCCAAGATTTCAAATAATTTGGCAGGAAAGCATTCTCTTGATAAAAGGTAAAAGTCCCTTTCTAGGTAAATGACTTTTAACATTCAGATTCACAGCCTGTTACCGAAACGCGACTTACACTCCACACACTTGGTCAGATTTCTGATTTTACTTTCAATGATTTGCCACGTACGAAAAAAATGCAACAATATATTTTTAATGTAAATGAAGACTTTTTAGCATATCATTGTCTTTCGGGCGGTTCGGCCGACGTTCTCGACGTTTCGCCATCCCAAGCGGACGGCATCATCAGGAGATGTTAACTCCTCGATTGCTCGAAGAATTAGAATTTCTTAATTCTTAGAGCCCGAAAGACAAAATGATATGCTGAACGGAGACCGTGAAAGCCTCACACAAAAGTGATTCTACTATCTCCTTCAAAGTAAACCGCGAATAAAATGAAAAAAGGTGGACTTAGCATTATCCTTCATTCGCTACTCGGATAAAAAGTATATGCACTTGCAGTCTAGATAAATTGAGACTGTAAAACTAATTGCTTTTAAGATAAGTCGTTGATCGATCGCTGTGCCACTCCAACTTTCAGCCTGACTTAGGTTCATGCATCATTTAGCAATTTCATTATAATATTGAAATAGCTTCGGTTTCGCGGCTTATTTTAACGGTTCACATCTTGAAGTGACTTAGAATTTTAGAAAACTATAACCTGGTGACTTTGGTTTACTGTTTGCGTCAGTGTTGGCATGTGGGCGTTAAGGATGATATAAATCACTAGCTTGTATTACAAAGAAAACGATAAATTAGCCTAGGCACCTTAATGCTTCAGATTGAAAGAACAGCTTTATTTGTTTATTGATAGTAGGTGGTACTTGATAGTAGGTAGGAATACCACGACCATATAGTATCTAAATAAGATTCGACTAAATTTCACGGATTTTTCTTCTGTGGACGGTGGTTCATGACCCGAAAGGATTTTTTTTATACCTACCACCCATTCAATATGAAGATTTCCTGACTAAGGCCAACATGATTTGTAAAAATTATAATTTAATTTGAAAAATTTTCGTCCTGATAGGAATCGAACCCACGCCACGTTGATTCCTCATTGCTATCCTTACACCAACCAGTCCGTAAATACAAATACATATTCCAATATTATCAAATATTTCATTATTAATTCCAAAGTATGTTATATATACATACTTCCAAAATAGGATTTATGAGACGGTAAATATGTAAAATATACAACAAAAAAACTCTTAAAGCCTTTCAAATATTTCAAGTATTGGTACGTTAAAATTCACCTAATATATCATACCTAATCTATACAATAAACTCTCCAAAGAAGCTTACCCCTATTAAAAACTTTTTGTTTAAGAAATGTTCGAGTACATTAAATATGCTTTTTATGATCAGATTCAAATACGCCT